ACCCAATCAGATATTTCCCTAAGCTTCGGGAGCTTAAAACAAATTATTGCATGTCTATACGTAATCTTCTGTCTCCACCATTTTTCCACCAGTCACCACCCGGCGTCTACCCCGTTACCTCCTGTCAAAACCCCTACACCTCGCTACATAAGACTTGTTTACCTGACACGACTTATTTGTGTAATAACGAAGAGAGTAAGTCATTGTCGGCTTCTAGATAGGAGATTGGGAATCTAGAATCTGCTGTTGTTGGAATTACATGTCTGAAATGACGGATGAGGGATCAGTAGGCAAAGACAAGCAGTTCCTATCTTTTTCCCGTTGTGAATAATGTAATCTTGCTATCTTTTCTGCGTTTATACCGAGTCGGCTAAATTCCTGTTGTCTTGCTGTTATTTTTCCCCCCGTTCGTGTAAATTTCATCTTCTTTCCTTACATCAAATTCCTGTCATTATTTTTCTATGTTTTTGTATCCTTTATTTATTTGTTTATTTATTTACTTTTTTGTTTCACAGTTTTTTTTTTTCCGAATCGGTGCCTATACTCGTGTATTAGTCGAGGAGTAAAGAGAATTTTCTCATTCGAGAAGCGTATACGTGAATTCATTTTTCGTGCAGCGTAAGAATTACCCATGTGGAACCTGGAAATGCAGTACCGTGTTTGTATTCTGATGTTACTAAAGTTGGTTAATAATTTTGTGTGAGAATCAAATAACTGGAGACTGTTAAAATATTCTTGCAAATTAATATATATATATATATATATATATATATATATATATATATATATAAAGAAATATAGTCTTAAGATGTGCTATATTTATGGGATAAAGTGCTCAATATCAGAGATAAAGCGTGTAAATATAAAAAGTGAACATAGAGTCAACATTATATGAATATATATAGTGTTTCATGCTATGCAATCATCAGGCATCTAGCATGAAACAGACTGCCAGTCTTCCTTTGTTGACGTATATATTCACTTTTATATATATATATATATATATTTGTATATATATATATATATATTAAAACAGAATTTCAACGTTATTTATAATGGATACCCGTATTTGAATAGACGTTCAACGTTTTTTAGACAGAAGTTTGCTTCAGCTATTGTCTACCATAAGCCCTAAACTTTAATAAAAAATATGAGTCTTCCATTTTCTTAAATAAGTTTTCGGGAGTGTGCAGGGCGGTATACAATATAAGCACTGTTTAAAAACAAAGCGTTTATTCACATACGGGCACTCTATAATATAACATTTGTACTACTAAAAATATGTTGGGTTTAAAAATAAAATACATTAATTCTATCTTTACATGTCTTGAGAATGTCTGACGACAGGATACCCAAGATCTTAAGCTAGATCTGGGCTACAGGAATATAGGACACCCATGGCTTTGATACAAAAACAAGCAGAAAAGCAACTTGTCAGCTATAACATCCTCGAGCGCTTAGACTTGGAGCGTGTAGAGTGGAGATCAACGTGCTTTACTGGACTCAGCGGTTTCCAATCAGCTATTGAATCATCTTCAAGAAGCGAGAGCAAGATCTAAAAGGTCAGCTAATCTAAGAGTGACCTCATCCCACAATCCTCACTCTTGCTCCATTAGTGGCCTCCTTTTTAAATCAATTCCAGGTCTTAAGTGCCACTTAGGATTATCGCACAAAATTCATAAGTAATCAATAGGTTAAGTTGTCAGATCCTCATACGTCGAAACCGGCGGGAGAGTCCATTATTATATATATATATATATATATATACACCCCATATATATATATATATATATATATATATATATATATATATATATATATATATATATGTGTGTGTGTGTGTGTGTGTGTGTGTGTGTGTGATGCGGTAAATATTTTTGAAAAAAATTAAACACATTGAAGCATTGTTATCAGCGGTGAAAATTTCATAGCTCGGATCAATTTCTGTCGAGGACACTGTCACCCGCTAATAAGATTTCATAATAACCTCAGGAAAAGTAAGAATCCATCTATTCTTCTTCCATTTCGGGATTAATTGTTTTGTTGATTGGGCTCTCCAGTAGAATAGAAACTTTGACTTCAAAACAAGTTGGCCATGGGGCTATCAAATCCACCTGTAAAATCCTCGTTTTTAAGGGAACCACAACAGCAAAACCAATCGTACTGCGTCTGTAGACCTACACTACACTTGCGAATCATTCACATGATATCTGTTGACAAATTGAACGAGAAAATGATCAGACAGAAGGAAAGAGTTTTGAGTTTCCAAGTTTTTTTTTCAATGCTGATTGCAGATGTGACAAATCAGGTTGATTTGTACAGTGCCTGGCCCGTTGTGAAGTGTTATTTTTTCCTGGGATTTCATGTAACGGATGAAATCAGGGCGTTTTCTGCATGTTGTCTTGCACACCCTATATGCTAAGTCATTTCCAGCGTTGTAATGATCAAAATCTTTTTACTAGTATGATACTTCATGCAGCTCTCCAAGCCTAGTTGCCACGTTATTAGGAGCTACAAACAACAACATTTATTATGACCTACAGATGATAGGAAGTTGTGGAGAGCCATGAAGGGACACGGCACATAAAGAAGAAGATTTACAGTTGCCAAATTCCTTTGAAAGTGTGTTAATGTTCTTTTCAGATTTTGTCTAACCTTGCGTTCAGTCGATTATTTTTTCGGAATGAATTAGACCTTATTCTTTGAGCCGTTTTCAAAATTATCATCTGAAGGAACCTTTTGAAAGTATCTCCATATAGTTCTGATAATAACAATATTTCTGCCAATGCTCGAATTTCGTTAACCTATTAAAAGAACGCTGACCAATTTGAAGCTGCCATCGCTGTTTAACTGCTATACTTTTCTGGAGTCTACGGATATCAGTTTTTTTTTATTTGTAATAACTCTTCTCCGTTAACTAGTGTTTTGCAAAAGAAAAAAAAAACATTGTATATCAATTTAAATGTCCTTTGCGAGATTATATCTCTAACTAAAACTTAAACATATATGATGGTATCACAACGACAATGCTATCAAGAAAGCTTGCTTTATATTTGTTGGATTCAAGTTCTATTGCACAACATTTAAATAACATTACTGTCCACATTCACAAAGAATTAGAGAAATATTAATTTACAATACAAGTATACTCCACCATGAAAATAAGAACAAAACTTAAAATTCTCAAAGCCCTATATATAAGAATATGAAAACAATACAAAATAGAATTAATTATGAATGTAGCAACAATGTTTCAAATTGTTTATAAAAGCAATGGTCTGAGATGCTCAAATTGTTATTTATTTTTATAAATAGCAGGTTAGTTATTTTTAAAACATTAATATTAAAAAAAATTAAACTAAATTACCTGTCTTAATTATGCTTAATGAAAAATTACTATAACGGAACGCGTTTCACAAAAGAAAATCACAACTATCAATTACATTAATGTTTGTCATAGCAATTCTCTCCAGAAGATGATCTTGGATGGGATCGAAAGTGCTTAGGAGAATAAAAGAAATAACCAAAATTACGGCGTCTTTCTTAATCAATTTTGTAACAACACTAAGAAATTGATCCGTGAATTCGAGAGGATTAAAACAAACTAAATTGATATAGTGTGTCTACATTATTCAAATAAACATGTTTGAATGCTACCTAAATACACACAAAGAGACTATCTATCCCTTGCAGCTCTCAACAAGTTCCTTCTATCTGCTTCCTCCTCCAGACCACGTTCTGTTATCCACTTGCTTAAGTCCGCCAATAAGATTGCCATTTTTAAAACTAAAATAAATAATACGAAAAAAATACCATATAAATGTAGAAAGGATTAAATGAAAGAAAATCGAAAGAAAGGAAGGGAAATCGAAGAGAAAATCGATTGATTGAAATGTTTTATTTTTACGGCTTGTCAACCTTTTGAAAGTTATTTAAAACCGAAACAATTATTTTTGGAGACATCGGAAAGAAGAGTTCTAATTTCACTCGAATCCATTACATTCACCTACGTGATAATACCCTTTGGAAATGTATGAATCCTCTTCTTCTCCCTCAAGCTATGGGTAAATAGCAGGGCAGCCCTGGTCCTACAGCCTTGGATGGCAAATGGTCTGCCGGAGAAAGAAATAGCAACCTACTACAGGAAAAAAAATCTGCTTCATCAGTCGTGTATCGAAAGATGCACGATCACCTAAGCGTGTATTATGCACGGCACAAAACTGAGTGATTTTCCAGTCGAATCCATTACATTCACTTACATGCTAATACCCTTGGGAAAGATATGAATCCTCTTTTTCTCTCTCCAGCTATGTGTAAATAGCAGGGCAGACCGAGTTCGAATTCCAGTCGAATCCATTACATTCACTTACGTGTTAATACCCTTGGGAAAGGTATGAATCCTCTTATTCTCCCCCACCCAGCTATCGGTAAATAGCATAACAGACCGAGTTCTATAGTCTTGGATGGCAAACGCTCTATCGCAGAAAGACATATCAACCTACTGCGTAGAAAAATCTGCCTCTAAAGTTATGTGTCGAAAGATACATGATCGCCTAAGCGTGTATCACGCATGGCACATAACTGACTGAAAGAAAACAGAAAATGAACACCTTTTGATGGAGGGAAAATAATGTAAAAGTAAGAACAAGTGGGCAAAGGGAAACTACAAAAAATTAAATGTAGGAAATAAACGGAAGTAGAAAAAACAGAAATGATCGAAATTTTATGTGTAAAAATGTAGAAGAAAAACAAAAAAGAAATAATGATAAAATAAAAGAAAGAAAGAAAGAAAGAAGAAAAAATAAAGAAAGAAGGAATAGTAGACAGACAGAAGGAAAGAGAGAGAATAACATACTGGTAGAAAAAAGAAAGAAAAACGGACAGAAAGAAAAACGAAAACAAATAAAGATAGGTTAATGTAAAGAAAAAGATATGAAAGAAAAAAAAAGAAAAAAAGAAATGAATGATATAGTGGCAGAAAAAAAAGAAAAAAAACTGACGGAAAAAGAAAGGGAGAAAGAAAGAAAAAGAAAGAAAGAAAGAAAGAAATGAATGATATAGTGGCAGAAAAAAAAGAAAAAAATGACGGAAAAAGAAAGGGAGAAAGAAAGAAAAAAGAAAGAAAGAAAGAAAGAAAGGAATGATATAGTGGCAGAAAAAAAAGAAAAAAAAAACTGACGGAAAAAGAAAGGGAGAAAGAAAGAAAAAAGAAAGAAAGAAAGAAATGAATGATATAGTGGCAGAAAAAAAAAAACAACCGAGGAAAAAGAAAGGGAGAAAGAAAGAAAAAAGAAAGAAAGAAAGAAATGAATGATATAGTGGCAGAAAAAAAACTGACGGAAAAAGAAAGGGAGAAAGAAAGAAAAAAGAAAGAAAGAAAGAAAGAAAGAAAGAAATGAATGATAAAAAGAAGGCAGAAAAAAAAAGACGGAAAAAAGAAAGGAGAAAGAAAAAAAAAGAAAGAAAGAAATGAATGGTATAAAAAGAAAAAACTGACGGAAAAAGAAAGGAGAAAGAAAGAAAAAAAAAGAAAAGAAATGAATGAAAAGAAAGGCAGAAAAAAGAAAAAAAAAACTGACGGAAAAAGAAAGGGAGAAAGAAAGAAAAAAGAAAGAAAGAAATGAATGATATAGTGGCAGAAAAAAAAAAAAAAATTCCAATCTTACAGTATCTGACGGAAAAATAAAAAAGAAAAGAAAAAAAAAAAAAGAAAGAAAGAAATGAATGAATATAGTGGCAGAAAAAAAGAAAAAAATGATGGAAAAGAAAGGAAAAGAAAAGAAAAAAGAAAGAAAGAAATGAATGATATAGTGGCAGAAAAAAAAGAAAAAAAACTGACGGAAAAAGAAAGGGAGAAAGAAAGAAAGAAAGAAAGAAAGAAAGCTTAATGTCCTGAAAAGTCAAACAAGGAAACAAAGGTATGAATCCTCTTCTCCCCCACCCCCAACTATGAGTTAAGAATCGGAAGAGACCAGGATCTATATAGCCTTGGATGGCAACTGGTCTGCAGCAAAGAGAAATGGTGGTGGTGGGGGATCAGCTTCGTCACACATGTATCGAAAGATACATGATTGCCTAACCGTGTATCACACATGGAACATAACTGACAATGATTTTCCGATAGAAATCCTACTATTTCCCTTATCGTTAATGCAGAAGCGGTGGATTTATACATTTCCCAAAGGTATATTTGGTAGGTGATTATAATGAAAGCGACGAGAATTCGAACTCGACACTCTGATTTCACATTCAGAGCCGTTATTCATTACACAACCCGGACATCTAAGCTTACAGCACCTGGTATTACTATGAATGTCGACGTCGATTAATTTAGGTTATCGTACAGGAACAGGTGTTTCAAAGTGATATGTTCGTAAATCCATTATAATGACCTCACATACAATCTTGCAGTGTCTAGTATTCCCAAGCGATAACTATCTAGGTATTGACAAAGCTCGACGTTGCTTAACCTCGGTGATCGTATGAGAAGAGGTTTTACAATGTGATATGTCCGTAAGCCACAGCCACATCTGCGCATCAAAGCGATCACTCTTATCTAGTTTGATTTTACAGTGTTTTAATGTTATTATGTCCGTCAACCCATTGTATTTTTACAATGTGCATCCGAAGTTGATTAATCTTACGGTATCGGTATGTTGAACTTCGGTTCGTAAATTATGTCCGTTAAATGTGATATGTCCGTACAGCCACATTCCAATTGTACATTCTGCGCATCAAAGCGGTCACCCATCTAGTTTCTGATCAAGTTCAATGTTGTTGAACAACCTCGGTGATCGTATGAGAAGAGGTTTTTAATGTGATATGTCCGTAAGTACAGCCACATCTCCAATCTACATATCTGGTATTACAAAGCGGTCACCCATCTTATTACTAAGTTCGATGTTGCTTAACCTCGGTGATCGTATGAGAACCAGTTTTTTAATGTGATATGTCCGTAAGCCACATTGATACATTCTGCGCATCAAAGCTTACCATCATCTAGTTTCTGATCAGAAGTTTTACAATGTATTACTAAGCGGTCACCCATCGTATCTATTAAAGCCAGTAATGTGATATTCGATGGTGATCGTATGAGAAGAGGTTTTACTGACCTCACATCATCTATCTGTTTCTGAGGTTCTTGTTGCTTAACCTCGGTGATCGTAGTAGAACCAGTTTTTTTAATGTGATATGTCCGTAAGCCATTGTTACACATTCTGCGGATCAAAGCGGTCACCCATCTTATTTCTGATCAGGTTCAATGTTACTTAACCTTCGGTGATCGTAGAAGAACCAGTGTTTTAATGTGATATGTCCGTACTAATCTTACATTCTGGTATTAAAGCGATCACCCATCTTATTTCTAAGCTCGATGTTGCTTAACCTCGGTGATCGTAGTAGAAGAGGTTTTTAATGTGATATGTCCGTGTCCCACATGTACAATCTGCGCATCAAAGCGATACTAATCTCAGTCATCTGATTACTAAGTTCGATGTTGCTTAACCTCGGTGATCGTAGAGAAGAGGTTTTAATGTGATATGTCCGTAAGCTTATTACATTTATGCATCAAAGCGAAGCCACAGCGATCAGGTTCTTATTACTAAGTTTGCTTAACCTCGGTGATCGTATGAGAAGAGGTTTTTTAATGTGATATGTCCGTAAGAAGCCAGGTTTTTACAGTATCTGTGACTATCTTATTACTAAGCTCGATGTTACTTAACCTCGGTGATCGTCCTTGATATGATTTTACCAGTGTTTTAATCTTACAGATCTGTCCGAAAGGCTCGATGTTGCTTAACCTCGGTGATCATGAGATCTAGTTTCCGTGATCAGGTTCCAATGTTCTGGTTAACTAAGCGGTGATCGTAGTAGAACCAGTGTTTTAATCCGTATATGTCCGTTCCATTGTACATCTCTGCGCATCTTACAGTATCTGGTATTACTAGTTTCACCCATCTTATTACTAAGCTCGATGTTGCTTAACCTCGGTGATCGTATGAGAAGAGGTTTTACAATGTGATATGTCCGTATTGTACATATCTGGTATTCAAAGCGATCACTCATCTCTAAGGTTCAATGTTGCTTAACCTCGGTGATCGTATAGAAGAGGTTTTAAATGTGATATGTCCGTTCCATTGTAGCCATCAAAGCGATCAGTATCTAAGTTTCTGATCGTTCAATCTTTTACTAAGCTCGATGTTAAAGAACCTAGTTAATCGTATGAGAAGTGGTTTTACAATGTGATATGTCCGTAAGCCACAGTACATTCTGCGATCTTACAGTATCTGGTATCTAGTTTCTGATCTTATTACTTCGATGTTGCTTAACCTCGGTGATCGTAGCAGTGTTTTTAATGTCTGGTATTACTAAGTCCGTATCTTCCATTGTGATCGTATCTGCGCATCAAAGCCACATCTCCATCACTCATCTAGTTTCTGATAAGGTTCAATGTTGCTTAACCTCGGTGATCGTAGAGAACCAGTTTTTTAATGTGATATGTCCGTAAGCTTCCAATCATTATCTGTATTATTCACGCATCAAGCGATCTTATTACTAATGTTGCTTAACTGGTCGGTGATCGTAGTAACTAACCAGTGTTTTAATGTGTATATGTCCTACTTCCATTGTACATTCTTACATCATCTGGTCCTTCAAGTTCGATGTTGCTTAACCTCGGTGATCGTATGAGAACCAGGTTTTAAATGTGATATGTCCGTAAGCCATTGCCACATTCCAATCTTACAGTATCAAAGCGGTCACTCATCTAGTTTCTGATCAGGTTTGATGTTGCTTAACCTCGGTGATCGTCGTAGTAGAACCAGTGTTTTAAATGTGATATGTCCGTAAGCCACAGTACATTCCAATCTTAAGTATCATGGTATTACTAAGCGGTCACTCATCTTATTACTAAGGTTTTACGATGTTGTCCGTTAACTTCGGTGATCGTAGTAGAAACCAGTTTTTAATGTGATATGTCCGTAAGCCCATTGTACATTCTGTCAAATCGATCACTAAGCGGTAGTTTCTTATTACAAGTTCGATGTTGCTTATCGTATGAGAAGAGGTTTTACAATGATCTTAGCCAACCAGTGTTTTAATCTATCTGGTATTACTATCGCATCAAAGTCCGTATCAGCTCATCTCCAATCTTATCAGGTTCTGGTGTTGCTAAACTCGATCTTATTAGAACCAGTTTTAATGTTGTCCTCGGTGATCGTATGAGCAAGAGGTTTTACAATGTGATTTCCGTAAGCCACTCCAATTTACAGTATCTGTTGCGGTCACCCATCTTATTACGTAGATGTTTTAAAGAGGTGTCCGTAAGCCACCACATCTCCAATTGTACATTCTGCGCATCAAAGCGATCTCATCTAGTTTCTAAGCTCGATGTTGCTTAACCTCGGTGATCGTATGAGAAGAGGTTTTACAATGTGATATGTCCGTAAGCCACAGCCACAGCTCCAATCTTACAGTATCTGGTATTACTAAGCGGTCACTCATCTTATTACTAAGCTCGATGTTGCTTAACCTCGGTGATCGTATGAGAAGAGGTTTTACAATGTGATATGTCCGTAAGCCACAGCCACATCTCCAATCTTACAGTATCTGGTATTACTAAGCGGTCACCCATCTTATTTTCTAAGGTTCAATGTTGCTTAAACCTCGGTGATCGTAAGAAGAGGTTTTACAATGTGATATGTCCGTAAGCCACAGCCACAGCTCCGATCTTACAGTATCTGGTATTACTAAGATCTTATTACTTGTTGCGCATTAACCTCTGATCAGGTTCGATGTTGAACCTCGGTGATCGTATGAGAAGAGGTTTTACAATGTGATATGTCCGTAAGCCACAGCCACAGCTCCGATCTTACAGTATCTGGTATTACTAAGCGGTCACTCATCTTATTACTAAGCCGATGTTGCTTTAACAGGTATCTGGAAGAGGTTTTACAATGTGATATGTCGGTCAAACACATCTCCAATCTTACAATCTGTTTATAAGCGGTCACCCATCTTATTAGGTTATCGGTTATTTACAATATATTAAGCCACAGCCACATTCTCCACTTACTTAACCCTCGGTGATCGAGAAGAGGGTTTTACAATGTGATATGTCCGAAAAAAAGCGGTTGATTACTAAGCTCGATGTTAATGCATTAAAGATTTAAAATGTGATATGTCCGTAAGCCAAACAAAATTGAAAGGAAGGAAAGGTTTTTTGTGAAGGAGTATCTGCAAACAGGATTGCAATTTTATTTTTGATAGGGTGAAAAGAAAATGAAATGAGTAGAAATAAAAAAAAAAAAAAAAACTAAAAAGAGAGTTGGAAAGAAACTTTACTGAAAGACGAAAGAAAAGGAAAAGATTATTTGTTAACAAAGAAAGGGAATAAAAAAGGAAAAATGAAAACTGAAAAAAAAAGAAAACCTGAAAAAAATGAAAGGAAAAAAAGGAAGGAAAAGGAAACGAGAAAAAAAAAAAAAAAAAAAACAAAAAAAAAAAAAAATGAGATTACGAATGACGAAAAGAAAAATGAATATTATTTTTTAAGGGGAAAAGAAATCTGAACAAAACTAGAAAAAAGGGACGAAAAAAAAATGGGCAAAAACAGTGAAAACAGAAAATAGATAGAACAGAACAATATTTGAAGGAATGAAAAAAAAAAAGAGATATATATATATAAAAAAAAAGAAAGAAATGAGGCAAAAAAAAAGGAAAGGTTAAAAAGAAACGGAAAGAAAGAAAGAATAACAAAAAAGAAAGAAAAAAACCTGGAAAAAAATTCTGCAGAAAAAGTCAATATGGTAAAGAAAGAAAAAAAGAAAGAAAGAAAGAAAGAAAAAGAAATAAAAAACTGATAAAAGAAAGAAAAAAGAAAGAAAAAGAAAAAACCTGGAAAAAGATTAATATCAGAAAAGTCAATGGGGAAAGAAAAAAAGAAAGAAAAAGAAAGAAAGAAATGAAAGAAAACTGCTGTCAGTTTCTGAAAGAAATGTGGAAGAAAGAAAAAAGAAAAAAAGAAAAAACAATGATAAAAAAAAAAGAATAGAAAGAAATAAAGATAGATAAGAAAGAAAAAAAGGAAAGAGGATAGAATGACATAACAAAGAAAGAAAAAAAATTAAGATATCAAAAAGTGTATATGGGGAAAGAAAGAAAAAAAAAATGATAAGAAAAACTGAAAAAGAAAAAAAGAAGAAAAAAAAAAAAAGATTAAATCAAAAAAAGTCAATATATTGAAAAAAGAAAGAAAGAGAAAGATTTGGGAATATCAGAAAAAGTCAAGGAAAAAGAAAGAAAAAGAAAATGCTGTCAGCATGAAAAAGAAAGAAAAAATAAAGAAAGAAAACCTGAAAAAAATATCAGAAAAAGTCATATAAAAAAGAAAGAAAAGAAAGAAAAATTAATATCAGAAAAGTCATAAAAGAAAGAAAAAAAAAGAAAGAAAGAAAGAAACATGGAAAAAAGAAAAACTTAAAAAAAAAAAATAAGAAAGAAAACAAGAAAAAAAAATTAATATCATAAATATGGGGAAAAAAAAGAAAGAAAAAAGAAAAAAGAAAAAAAAAAACTCTGGAAAAAGAAATATCAGAAAAAAGAAAGAAAGAAAGAAAAAAGAAAGAAAAAGAAAGAAAGAAAGAAAAAAAGGAAAGAAAAAACTGAAAAAGAAAGAAAAAAGAAAAAAGAAAACCTGGAAAAAGCTTAATCAGAAAAAAGGGAAAAGAAAAAAAGAAAGAAAGAAAATGCTGTCAGAAAAAAGGAAAGAAAAACTGACGGAAAGAAAGAAAAAAGAAAGAAAGAAAACCTGGAAAAAAGATTAATATCAGAAAAAGTCATATTTCAAAGAAAAAAAGAAAAGAAAAGAAAAAAAAAGAAGAATGAAAAAAGAAAGAAAATGCTGTCAAAAAAAGAAAAAGAAAAACTGAAAAGAAAGAAAAAAAAAAAGAAAGAAAAAAAGATCAGAAAAAGATATATGGGGGAAAGAAAGAAAGAAAGAAAGAAAAGAAAAAGAAAGAAAAGAAAAAAGGAAAAAAAAAAAGGAAAAAAAAGAAAGAAAGAAAAAGAAGAAAAGAAAGAAAAGAAAAAAGAAAAGAAAAAAGATTAAATCAGAAAAAAGTCATGGGGGAAAAAGAAAACAAAAGGAAAGAAAGAATGGTTAATGTCAGAGAACGACAGATATGGGAAAGAAAAAAGGAAGGAAAGAAAGAAAGCTTTACAGTAATTATTTTAACTAAAAGCAGTGACAACAATCTTTCGTACACGCAAATGATGGCTACAATTAAATGGAAGGCACTTTTAATAAGTCGATATTTTTTAATTTTTTGCTTTAAAATATGTGATGAAAAAGTGAGAAAATACAAGAGCATGAATGTAACGGAGGAAAACATTGACTGCTTGGAATTGTGTTGGCGATACGCGGGCGCCCGTCTGTGTGAGTGTGTGTGTGTATGTGTGTGTGAAAGTTTAGATATTTAAGGGAAAATATCCCCATGGCCGGAAACAAGGCCCTGGTGGTGTTGTCACTAAAAAAATGCCATGAGGAAAAGTGAGAAAAGAGAGAGGAAAAGATAGAAACTGTCTCTTTTTTTTTATAGGTGCTTAACAATAACCTCGAACCACTGGGACATCTATGTGGGGATGACTCACGGAAAGAAAGAAAGAAAGAAAGAAAGAAAGAAAGAAAGAAAGAAAGGGAACGATGATGTAAGCAAAAAAAAAAAAAAAAAAGTGACCGGAAGTGTGAAGAGTAAAAATAGAAATAAAAAGAAAAACGAAAAACGAAAAAGTGAAAATAGACAATAAAAGAACCAGTACTGAGCCAAAGAAATTGAAAAGAAATAGAATGAATAAAATGTAAAATGAATGATAGAAACGGAACGAAACAGACAGAAAAAATGATGAAGAAAAAAACAAAGAAATAAATAGTGCAAAAAAAAAAAAGAAAGTAAAAAAGAAAAAGCAAATGAAAAGAGTAAAGAATCCATCTAGGTACTGACCAGGCTCGACGTTGCTTAACTTCGCTAATCGTTAAGAACCGATATTTCAATGTGGCTATAAGACCCGCGACTCCACGAAGTGAACAGAGGTAGAAATGGTGACAACAAAGTATACACGACTCCATTTTGCTAGGAATGCTTCAAAGGATATATTACGTTTGGCAATCTTACATTTGTTTATTCCATTTTTCTTTTATTCTTCATAATCACTTCAAATTTTGATGCATTCATAAGTTACAACAAATGTGTTATGTAAAATAAGAGAATTGGACTAAGCCAAGACTACACGAGGTGTACTTTTGTTCAACACCACAAGATGCGTCCAAAACAAACCTTACAACTTGAGTCATGTCAATAAATAGACTCGTCAAATCGAGACTGAAATATGGATGATATTCATGGCGCCCAACGTGTTCAAAAATACTTAAACTACTGCGTTCGACCACTCTCTCGGATCAATAGTTAAACATAAGTTGCAACGAATGAAGTATGTTTCAAAGGAGAAATATTTTTCAAACGATGCGTACTGACTCTACAAAGAACCAATAAACATAAACCACATAACGAGGACTTCCAACAACGGCAATAACTAAAATACATAACAATGTATCTCAAAGAGAAGGAAGATTTCTGGCTGAACCAAGGAATGTAGTTCGTTCGAGGACTTTCCATGGAAGTACAGATAGAGCAGTGTGAAACTAGCCGTATAAGATAGTGGTTGGAGGGTGAAAAATAATTCCTTACACACAAGGACCCGATGATGCTTTTGAACTCTAGTGAAGACTAAACAGCTCCCGCCCGTATATGAAAAACGGTACTCCATTTTCGACCTGATCTGAGTTTTGTAGAGGATAACATGTGGAGTCATGCACTTCCTGGAGGGAAAGAAGGAGCCGACCATTTTACCTCCATTACTATTACTAACACATTTTTTTTTAATATCAGTTTAATAGTTTGCGATATATTTAAAATGAAAATGGCTAAAAAATTTCCATGTAAAAAAACAAGGTTTGTTCGTTTTTTGTTTTTTTTTACTTTGTATTCACGACTGTGCAATAAAAAGTTCTCGTCCCGATCTCGATAACACGGCCAAACATGCAATTAAAGAGATCGGTTGGGAATTTCCATCACACCCACCATGATACCCTGATCTAGCCAATTCAGTCGACCACCTGTGCAATATTTTCCGCGATTTGATGTTTAAGATACTCTTAGTTTATTTTAGAACCGGGTCCAGGAAAGGAGTCTACATGTGTGTCAAAATAATTACACTAATCGTAATAAAAAAAAAGGCACGAATGAATTATCTACATATACATATCTATTAGAATATATGTAAACATTAGTTTTTATTTTCAGGCAGATGTTTGGTGGCCTTTTGGATCGAACCCATTTGTCTGAAATCTGTCATCGTCCAATTTATTTGAATTCCAATGCACACCACAAAAGGAAAATGAAAAACTGAATGACTAGGATATTTATGCAAATATATATATATATATATATATATATATATATATATATATATATATATATCGGCGTATTTTTAACCAAACTTGTATTTAGTTTATATACGCATGCATTTATATATATATATATATAGGTGTGTGTGTTTCTGTGTGTGCACATTTCATTGAATACGATAGTTTTTTTTTTTATTATACAATTAAAATATTTAATGCGTGAAAATGGCTAAATGTATAGCCGAAAGCGCTCGGATAAAAAGAACCTTCGGACAGTTTTTATATAATTTATCATTCGAAAAGAAAAAAGATATTAGGACGCAAGATAAATTGTATAAAAAACTAAATAAAAGCACGTTGTCTATCGTATTTAATGAAATATGCATGAAAGAAGGATTGCTGCCTAAATACACACACACACACACACACACACACACATATATATATATATATATATATATATATATATATATATCTCCTTGCATATATGTATGTATATATATATGTGTATATATACAGCCTGCGATGGGTAAATTATCGTCATGTTATATTTTTCTAATTGGCTTATGCACGTTGTTTTTATTTGATTTTGTTAACTGCACCCTATAGTAGGGTCAGTTAGGAACCGTCTCTGAGATAAAGAGCACCATGATGCTATTTGCTCTGCAAGAAATTTGGAACGTACTGCCTGGCATTTACGCAGGAAGCTCCCATACGAAGATTTCAGATTGTTTTTGTGTCAATCTGAGGACAGTGCAGAGAATTCGAAAAGAAATAGATGAATCTATTGGCGATTTCGAAGGCACGGCAGCTCGAAAAACATACTCTGATAATTCTAATTAGAAAAAGGCTTCCAGAATTCGTTCGGAGGCCTACATCAAGTTCCTTCAGATGTTTATGCTGCCCTGGTTAAACAGGTTGGCTGCTAGAAGACACTACGTCTGATAAGAGGAAACTGCACAATGCCACACGAGCAGGAGAACCCAGTCATGACTGTCAGACAATTTCTACGATCACATCATCCC